CTTGAGACTTTTACCGTCGCCTGGTTGCATTTTGGGGGAATTATTACAATAAGTTTGTTGAAGTACTTGCTTGGACATGTGGGGCATGACACCTTCGACTCCTTCTGGTCGGTCTACAGAGTGTGGTGACGGGCAACCTTTGCTGTCAGCTGAAAGAGCCTGCTCGTGGTCACCGTCCTTTTGTTCAATTTTCCCTCGGACGAGAGACCGAGGGGACACGTCTCCTCTGTTTCCACAAAGGTTCACCACTAGATTTTGACCATCCCTTTCCATTGGCTTGTCAGGAAGAGTTTGCAGAGGCTTTCCATCCAAACCCTGCAGTTTGCCCATTTCTGCTACATCCCTAGTGCCTGTGTCACCGCTTACCAGCGATACCGAAACATCCGGTTTGCAAACTTGAGCAGCGGTTTGGTGATCAATTTGCAAGTTAGATTTTTCATTCGCTTGAAGTTTTGCGCTTTTAGGAGGAGGAGAGAGCTCTATTTCTTTTGGGGCCACCATGACGTCAGAGCAGTTGTTTTCATCCGGTGCTGAGAGATGTCGTTCTACTAGACTTCTCAGTTTTTGTGTCGGACGGGCAAGATCATCCTCAGGATTTTCACAAACTGCCATTTGCCTTTCAGTTGGTCTTACTCTTTTTCTTTTAGACCCCAAAGATACCCCATCCTCTGGTTTGTGATCAGGGGCTGTGCAAGTTCGAGAGGTCTCATTGTGAGATAAGAAAAGAGCTTCAGCATTGCGGCTTTTAGCGAAATTTGGCACTCGTGTTGCAGTGCCAAGCTCTTCGTGTTGATTTGCCACAAATTTGTCAGAAGAAGTAGACATTTTGTCCTTGAGCTTTGAGGATTTAATTTTTCTAGGATGCCCTCTTGTCCTTCTCCCTGCTACAGGTAGTCCATGATTGTCTGTTGTCAAGTGGCACACACTTGCAGGGGCCATTTCAGTCTTCGCATCCATCCCTAACTGTGAGACAGCATTAGGTTGGCGGTTGCTATTAACAGGTGCTTCGGATTTCAGGGTCTCTGATGAGGGAGATGCAGGTAAAGGTTTACATCGATTTGTCAATTTCATTTCCTCCCCCCATTCAGAATCCTGTTTCTCCTCAATGCATTCTGTAGCTCTGGGCACCTGCAGAAGACAATAACACTGGTACATCACAGTCATAAAAGTGTTTCATCAGACCCAGGCTATAAAAAAAAAGGCATGCAAATGCGGCCCATGTATTAAGATTTTTTTGGGGGGGCGGGGGTGGGGATAGTCACTAGGCTACTGTGCTATGTATTGCACTAGAGTTGATTATGGTGACATAGCTGTATCGTGTAACAAATATAAATAAATAAGCTAAAAAGCACCATACGTCTGTGTGGAAAAGAGGAACCTCATACATGTATTTTATTGAGTCTTCAATTGAAAATGAAATTCAGTTATTAAACACTGACAAGGTGCTGACTTTTTTGTTTGCTTGTCTTCTTTTTTTTTCATTTGTATCTACATTATGTGCAAAGTATGTTTTCAAAAATTTGTTAGTTAGACAATTACATCCAGAGATGCAAGATGATTCCAGTTTTTCCAAGCAGAGTATTTCTTAAGCCTAAGCAATGGTTTGACCTCTGCAGGTACCCTTTCCTTTTACGTGAATGTTAAGGTTGAAAACATGAGAAATATATGTTGTTTATATAGTCTCTCTTCAATTCAAACGATATAAAATATTTCTAAACAAAGACCAGTGTTAAGAAACGTATCAATAGAAATAGCCTTATTCAAATTCAAAGAAAACAGAACATGCATAATCATCATGAACATTACTTATGAAATTACAGGCCATTAGTTGGGGCTCTCATAGTTGCGGGATCAATTCTCACTCAATTTGTTCATCTCAGTTCCCCTGTAATTGATTGGCGACCAGTCGAGGAGCTAGGAACGGGGAAAGGTGGCCTTAATCCTGAACAGGGTAGGCAGAATACAAAATAGAGTGATGGATGAATCAAGGGTTATATTTGTGCTTCTAACTAGCTACCTCTTTGCAGTCTGTCGGTGGATGAAAGGAACTACAAGGATGCGATGTCACAGCAGTTAATTCAGAGACAGTATACTGGTCGCTCCTCCTTCTGCTGAAGGAAATTTTACTCCCCATGTCAGGAGTCTGTGGAATGAACAGGGATTACAACTCTGCAACTCAAAAAACATACATGTTACTTTTAAAGCGAGGTACACACACAACAAAAATTGGGCCGAATTACAACATTGTTCCAGTCACTTTCAAAAAGTCTGTTTGTCAGATGTCTCTGAAAGGTTACCCTGCAGCGTGGGGGTATGTTACGAATGATTTTTCTTTCCCAATCTGCTCGGCAAACGATAGGGGATGAAAAGTGTAAATGTTAAATAACTTTGTTTCTTTTTTGCGAATCTTTGTGTGTGTTTAACACAGAAGTCCGTGGAGCCACAGATTTCATGATTGTGAAACAGAACGATAGCCAGTGGGGAGGCGACATGAAGTTTGTGCTGTTGCCTGACACAAATTGAGGAGCAACGAGTTGTGTAATTGTTCATTTCACGTGTCTCCAGTCATTCACCAAGACAAAAATGACAGGGACAACATTTTCCCTCCTCAATGTTGTTTCCAGACAAGTTAACAGTTAGCCTAGTTTTTTTATGTTTCTTCTTCAACTCCTACTTCCTTACCCCTTGTATTTTCTGGCAGTCTGAATGCCCTGAGGGGGAATGCTGCATCTCACAGAACAAGCTTGGTACTACACCACACACCGTTGGTGCTGTACGCAAACGCACAATTTTTTTAAATGTTGCACATCTGAAAAGCTGTTTGATAAACATGCCTACATCCATTTTTTAAAAATTCAAGTGTTGGGGCTTGCAATTTTAATGCCAATATTTTTTCCTTCACTGCAAATAAATATCACTTCAAATGGGCGATTATCTGTCAATCTCTTGACAAAACTTCAGAGGAATTGTTATGAAAAGGACAAAAACATTAATCCCACAAATACTCCTAAAACGTAATAATAATTTGTCGAACGTTGTGGTGCTTTTTTTCCGAAAGGTAAGCATATTTTTACGTGGAGTCTTACCATTTTCCTGTACTTTTAACAGTATTTTCATAGTTCAACAAAAGCAAATACATTCTTAACAAACACTTAACTGTACTATTAAAAGATGACAAAAGTAGTCGATTCGCAACACTCTTGTATGTTCGCCTCAGTGAGCCCATCTTACAGCACCATATTTAGCCTGTGATATCAGGACAGCGGCCTTGTCCCAAAATCTTAATTTCTGCTATTTTAAAATCGGAAATTAGTCTGCATAGACATGGCGTTTGCATATCGTAGGCCAGGTTGCTAGCTCATTACCAATAACACTCACAGACGCGTGAACAACAGCACATTGTCGAAGCCAATGATACTCTTCAATACTTGGTTGCCAATATTGTGTGGTGAGGGTAATTTTTATTTGAAAAATAGTTAAAGTGCTTGCCTGGGTGGGTGAGTCAACACTGGTCCCCTGGTGGCCATGCATTGACGACTTGCTCGGCTAGGTAGCGCTGGCTAGCACGAAGCTATAAACAGCGTCGTGGCTCGGTGGCTGTTTTATAAACCTTCCACCACATCCATTAATCTGACTGTTGGGCATTGCAAGCCTGCCCCGACTTTTGCATCTTTCAGCACCTTAGAGTAGCCATGACTTGACTGGGTCGGTGTGGTAGTGGCACAAAGCTACCTATATGACACTATCAGTCGGGTCTGATGCACGAAGTGTGCACTTCAGGTGCCGTTGGAATTTTCGATATTACCTGTAGTGGAAGTCGAAGCATAACAGAAAACAGTGATTACCATGCAACCGACATACACAGAATATGCTGCTTTAAAACAGTTCACTTGTATCTGCAGCCTTATTTCTTCTCGTAAAACAGCGCGATTGGAGGTTCCACGTTGCTTTTGGCTAACCTAAGGCCACTCGAAGCAGTCATTTGAATTGCAATCAAATACAAACTAGAGTAGTCAGTTATTAGTTTTAGGTATAGGTTTCCCAAACCTCACCCGGGCATAAAATAGCTTGCCTGTCTTGGTTATTTGGATTGTGTCCATGGAAAATCGTGATGTCTTAAACTGAAAAAGTTCGTGAAAAGCTGCAATGTTCTTCAACTCTTATTCTCCAACCCCCTTGCACGCCTGGCATGTGTGTGATCCGTTTCTCAGAGTAGTGTGGTGTGCAACACAAAATATTCAGCGCAGTGTAAAATGAATTTCCCCTCGGGGAATACAGTACTGTGATTCAAAGTACAGTATTCTTAATGACCCGTTTAGCGTTGTTGCCAAACGACGACCTCTGCTGGATAAATGAGACACCTAAAATGACTGGAAGGAATGTAAACAATTCAATAGCATGGAAAGCCGTTTGAGCATTTATTTTGGTCTGATAAACTTGATCTCCATCTTAAGGTCCAGAATTGTCCGTACTCTATTTAGTGCATTAGTAGAACGATTGATTGTCTTCCCAGTGACATGTTTTTGCCACTAGTGTTAGGTTTGTTCAACGAGTGCAACTCCTTTTATAGATCTTAAATGCATCAAAAAAAATAAAAAAATAAAATTCAAACGGCTTTCCACTATGCTTTGTTGTTAGTAACAAAGTAAGGTGGTGGTCACGTTACTTGTGAGGCAAAATTATCTACGAGTTGAATGTGTGCAGGTGGTACGAGGGACATGCAATTGTACTAGTTAAAATCTGGACTACTTGTAAACAGAACACACAGATCGTGTAGTTTTGTCTCAGTACTAAACACTAATATGCCAAAAACAACCCACTGATGTGTGTTTAAGTAGTGTGTGTGGGGGCCAAATGTTCTTCAAAACCCACCAAGTACCAAATTTTTAAACCATAAGTACCGTATTGGCAAAAGATTGGCTGACAGATTACAGGTCCTGTGGATGATTTGGACACAAAATTAATGAACAGCACAGTCATGAAAAAAATTGAAACCTAAGTGAGAATTAGAAAATATAGTTTAATAATACATAAAGTTCACTTAAAATGGTCATGGAAGTGAACGCTTATCCGAAGGCATTCTGATCACACTGAAGCATATTTAGAAAAAGGACAAGAAATCTACAATACAGTGCCTTGCTGGCTCACCTCTCATCTTAACATACATTGGTTGACTTTGTAATTTAACACCAATGTTCAAATACACCGGTAAACATGGAGCATTCAAATGTTCTGTCCTGACAATATATAAGCCAGATTCATATGAATTTTTCATTTTATCAAATCTAAATTGACGCACACATACATGGATTTTAAAAGGACAGAAGACGTCAGGAAACATTTTACTCATTTGGAATGAAGATAAGCAGATGATCGGCAACATGCAAACTGGTCAAGTTTTAATGGGGACAGATGAGGTGACCTGGTAGATCATTTCAGATGTTTTTTCTTGTCCGGTTTCCACGATGTAACAATCATCTTCCTTATCTTCTGTATCCACTTTGTCAGCATGTTGTCCTTTATTATAAGTAACTTGTTGGTTCTTGGCATCAGACGAGAATGCGCGGCTCCTTTCACCATTTACCCGGGTCGCATTGGCCTTGGATATCAGCACATCCCGTCTGGGCTGGATCATTTTGCCGATACGGCCGTGCTTGGCCAAGAATTCATCTGCTTTGGGACACTTGTGCCTCTGTAGCATCTGAGTGCTCTCAAATGAGACATGGCACACCCGACACGTAAAGTCAGCTGCCCCGGGGGACGTCTTTGCAGGTTTGCTCAGGTTGCCGCTCTTTGTTGCGGGTGAGGGCGGACGCTTCCAACCGCTTTTCTGGGGGGCGTTCAGCGTGGAATTCTGATGCTTGAACTGCTGGGAAGTCATGGTGCGACCTCCCTGAGAGAGTCTGCTGTAGGTTCGCACATTTACATTTTTCAACTGCAGGGCAGAGGTGACTTGAAGCATCTGATTGTTTTCGTTTCCCGCATTCAAATACTTGTTCGGGCTCCGAGTCAGGTCGATTTCCTGGATTGGACTCTTGTAATTCAGCGGTCTGGCTGTTATGAGTTTGAGTTTGGTGGTGGTGCTGGAAGAGTTACACGTGTGGAAGCGAGGCATTAACTTCCTGCTGGAAAGCAGCAGCCCACATCCAATGCAGCCACAGATTTTGTCAGCAATGTGACTACTAGTGTGCGAAATTAGCAGGCGCTTGGTGACGAAACCCTCACCACATTTACCGCAAGTGTACGGCTTCCACTGGTTCCACTTACGGATTGTTTGCACCAACACCACGGGCTGGTAAATTGTCCAAAGATCGACTGTTGGGGCTCCCACAGTTGAAAACATACTCTTCATGTTTAATCCAGTTTGGTCACCATTAAAAGATGACGCCATGGACGGATATGTTTTAGGCACGTAAGAGATGGGTTTCGAAATTTTAGTCGAAAAAGCTGATGCCGACGGAGACTGCTTTACAGACCCAGAACCACCATCAAGGTTCCAGACAACTTCACCCAACTTGAAGCGTTTCAGCTGCTCCTCTTCTTCGATGTGTTTTTCAAATCGGCGCTTCTTTATCGTTTCGTGATGCAGCACCTGTTGTCCCGGTTCGTGCGTGAGGTTGTGGCTGAACATGTCTTCGTACAGAGCAAACTCGGTTCCGCAGGAGCAGATGTGACTTGTAAGAGGGCACACATGTTCCTCCAAAAATTGCTGAGTGGAAAAGATCTGTTCACAGCTGAAGCAAATCCCACCAGTGTTCAAATCTCCAACGGAGCTGCTTTCCTGTGGTTTCAGAAGTCGCTCCATCATCAGGCTAGGGATGGAAGTATTTACTTTCAACGTGATACCTATTTAAAAACATGAAAAATACAATTTATTTAATAGGACAATACTTATTTTATGATGACCGTTATTATATGTTTGTGTGTGTGTGCAATTATTTGTTTACAAAAATCACAAAACAACCCAGTTTCTAATCTACAAGACTTTCAGCAATGGGAATTGTGAGCCTCTGGGTATGTAAGGCTGTTCTACTTCTGATAAACACCTCAATAAAAATATTGAACAGTCAAGGATTTCTTTGAGCCTTTCGACAGAGGAGCACGATGGCCACATTTGATGTTTAATGTTCATGATAACCAATATTGACTCTTAAATCGCTATTCCAACACAAACAGTTGTAAAGGTGTAACACAACTACATACGCGCAACAGCGGATTCTAAATGGATACAAGCATTCGGATTTCTTGAACAAACGAACGAAGTTGTGACATTTTGTCAGTTGCGGACGTTATTTTGCTGGAACATGAGCCTGCTAATGCTAGCGTGCTAAGCATTGCCTTAGCCGGCTAACTGATGACAACGTTAACTTACCTTGGCCAGTCAAAAGCAGGGTAAGAGAATTCTATTTTAATCCTCGCCACAAAGGGGTCAGTGCAGATCCGATGTCGTTTACGGGGAGGAAAGCTGGAGTGTCGGCGTTCAGGCATAAAGTAGGTAGGCATCCGACCACACCACTGAGGGAAGGAAAAAAAAGGAAAGATACCTCGTCTTCCTCTGCGAATGGCGCCCTTTGCTAAGCGTACATCTGATGTTCACAGGTTTATACTGACTCCTATTGACAGAATGGCGGTACTACTTCTACTTTTGTCACTGCTTTTTGTGACGTCAAATATTTTGACTGATACCGTGGAAATTAAAAAAAAAAACTAAACTATATTAAACTTCCCTTTTCAATGCAAAATATGCCTGTTCCTTGTCTGCAAAGACAGTTTTTTTTTGTACATGAACATTTCACTTTCCTTAAGTATTTTCCCATTAAACATTATTACTGGACATGAGTTAAGTTTAGCTTAAAATCAGAAATTCCCTTAATTATATTGGTGCAGAGTCTATGAATACACCAGTTTCAAGACATCGGTCTTAAAAAATATTACCAAGTCAATTTTCCTTTCAATGGCAGTTAACATTCAGTAATTTACCTTGTATTTAATATGTCCGTTATTTTTTTTTTTATATTTTTGAGCCCAGTGTTGGCAGTGTAGATATATGTCCAATTAGTTCAACAACTATAATTGACAGTGCTATATAACGACATAGACATTAATATAATGGAGAAAAAATATGGTAAGAATACAGTCACATTTGAACCAAGTACAAATTTCAATTTATAAATATGACCAAAACAAGTGTACACAATAGTTTATTTACAAAATATGTAATTTTCACTCTCTCATTAGAACGTGACCACTAGGCTCAACACTGCTCATTTTTTCATGGAGAACTTCTAAAAAGCAAGTAATTCCTCCCCCCCCCCCCCAACCTAGTTTTAAAAAAGACCAAATGCGCCAT